CCCTGCCAGCATTTGTTATTGGTTGATTTCTTGATAGCAGTCATTCTTTCTGGAGTGAGATAAAATTTCAGCATTGTTTTAATTTGCTTCTCTTGAATGACCAGTGATATTGAACATTTTTTCATTATTTATTTGCTCTTTGTACTTTTTCACCTGAGAAATATGTTCATCTCAGATGTCCATTTTTGAATTGGGACTTTAAATTTGGAGGGTTTGATTTTTTTCAGTTCTTTGTCTTTTGTCTGAGGAACAGCTGGCAAATTATTTTTCCTACTCTTTTGGTTATCTCTTTGCTCTGTTGGTGATTTCTTTTGCTGTGAAAACTTTTTAATAAGGTGAGATCCCAGTTGTTGATTCCTTGTGATATTTCCCATGTGATTGGGGTTTTGTTCATAAAGTCTTTGCCTATACCTATGTCTTCAAGAGTTCTGCCTATTCTATCTTCCAGCAGATTTAGTGTTTCTTTTTAATATTTAGATTTTTGATCCATTTTGATTTTAGTTTAGTGCACGGTGAGAGACATGGGTTTATTTTTAGTCTTTGGCATATGGAAGCCAGCTTTTCCAGTGCCATTTATTAAAGAGGCTGTTTTTCTTCCAGTGAAGGTGTTTGACTCCTTTGTCAAAGATAAGGTGGTTGAGTGTGTTTTGAGTTCCTTCTGCATCTTCTGTTCCATTGTCCTTGGGTTTTTTTTTTTTTGGTTTTTTTTGCCAGGACCATGCTATTTTTATTACAGTAGCTCTGCAGTATAATTTCAGGTCAGGGATTATGATACCCCCTGTCTTGCCTTTGTTGCCCAGAATTGCTTTTGCTATTTTGGGCCTATTCTGGTTCCAAATGAATTTTAGGAATGTTCTCTCTAGTTCTGTAAGATATGCTATTGGTATTTTGATTGAAATTTCATTAGATCTGTATAACAATTTTGGCAGTATGGCCATTTTTACTATGTTGGTTCTTCCTACCCATGAGCAAGGGATGTCTTTTCATATTCTGATATCCTCTTTGATCTCCTTTCTCAGAGTACTATAGTTTTGAATGTAAAAAATCTTTTACTTTTTGTTAGATTGATTCCTAAGTATTTCATTTTTTGGGTGCTATTGTGAAAGATGTGGTTTCCCTAATTTCACTTTCAGTGTATTTGTATTTGTGTACAGGAATGCTATTGATTTTTGAGTGTTGACTTTGTATCCATACATGGCTGAATTTGGTTATTAAATCAAAAAGTCTTTTGGTGGAGTCTATGTAGAGTATCATGTAAGATGGGATTATTTCATTACATGGAAATACATGCAAAGAGAAATGAAGGGCTGAGATGGAATTAAGATTGCTAATTACCTCACTTGGAGATGAGAACATGATCCTGGGTTATCTTCATGGACCCATTGTGATCACAATGGTTCTTAAAAGTAGAAAGAAAAGAGAAGAGTCAGTGTCAGAGTGATGTGATGTGAGGAAGTCCCCCCAGCTAGGCTGGCACTGAAGTTTATGGAAAAGCCCCAAGCCAAGGAATGCAAGCCCCCTCTTGAAATTGAAAAAGATAAGGAAATAATCCTTCCTTTAAGATTCCAGCAGTGAATGAAGCCCTTACAACTCCTTGATTTTAGCCTGATGAGATCTGTTTTAGACTTCTGACCTCCAGAACAGTAAGATAATAAATTTGTGTTGATCTAAACTACTAATTTTGTGGTAATTTGTTTAGCAGCAATGGAAATGAATGCACTTTCTAAGTAGATTTTAAGTTCTGAGAAGACAGAGGCATTTTTTCTGCTTTTTTTGTTATTTCCCACAGTGTGAGACACAGTGCTTGGTACACGTTAGGTGCTCAGTAAGTGTTTGCTTTACTGCCTCAGGCCTGGTTCCAGGAAGCTCGGTGAAGAGGGTAAATTGGGCCTTTGGGCCTCCTTCTATTGGGCTATTGGGCCCTCTCAGAGCCCTTTATGCCCTCCTCGGCCCTCATGCTGGGCCCTGGTTATCAACCTTTTCCATGTCCTGTGTAATCTATTAATGGATAATATTCCAAGGTTGAGACTTTTCTAGAGAAATTTGCATTTAAAAGGATAGCACTAAAATTATAAACTCATCCATTCCCAGAGGTAGTAAGCCACAGGGTTGGTACAACTAGGAAGATATTGATGGAGTTGAACAGAGATTCCAACCTTCTCTATCAAGCCAATTAGCAGTTATTGACTATTTATATTCTGGTAGACAAAGAACCCAGAGAAATGGGTCCTAATCTTGCCTTCTCTGTCCATTACAAATATAGTAACCTTAACAGAGACATGGCAGAGGGCATCACAATTGCCAACTTGAAACTATACTACAAAGCTACTGTGATAAAAACAGCATGGTACTGACCTGAGGACCAGTGGAATATATTAGAAGATGCAGAAACAACTGCAGACACACTCAGCTATCTCATCTTTGACAAAGGAGCCAAACACCTTCACTGAAGGTAAGATAGCCTCTTTAATAAATGGTGCTGGAAAAATTGGGTTTCAACTTGCCAAGGATTAAAACTAGACCTATATCTCTCACCATGCACTAAACTAAAATCAAAATGGATTAAAGATCTAAATATTAAAACAGAAACGCTGAACCAGCTGGAACAGAGGTTAGGTAGAACTCTTGAAGACACTGGTGTAGGAAAAGATCTTATGAACAAAACCTCAGTTGCTCGTGAACTAGCACAAACAATCAACAAGTGGGATCTCTCCTTATTAAAAAGCTTTTGCACAGCAAGAGAAACCACACCAACAGTGTGAAGAGACAACCCACAATGTGGGAAAAAATCTTCACCTGCTGTTGCTCAGACAAAGTTCTACTATCTAGAATCTATAAAGAACTTAAAAAAATCAGACCTCCCCAATTTAAAGACCCAATCCAAAAATGGACATCTGAAATGAACAGACATTTCTCAGATAAAGAAGTAGAAATACCAAATAAATATATGAAAAAATGTTCAACATCACTGGTCATTTGAGAGATGTGAATGAAGACAACGCTGACATTCCACTTCACTCCAGAAAGAATGGCTGCTATCGTTAAATCAACCAATAACAAATGCTGGTGGGGCTGTGGGGAAAGAGGAACCCTGCTCCACTGCTGGTGGGAGTGTAGACTGGTGCAACCACTGTGGAAATCAGTGTGGAGATACCTCAAAGAACTGGGACTGGAAGTCCCATTTGACCCAGCTATTCCCCTGCTGGGTATCTTCCCCAAAGAATTAAAAGAATCATACCACAGTGATATATGTGTACCCATGTTCATAGCAGCACAATTTGTAATAGCTAAAACTTGGAAGCAGCCCAAATATTCATCAACTGGAGACTGGATAAAGAAAATGTGGGGTTTTAAAAAATAAAACGGAGTACTACTCAGCCATAAAAATGAGAAATTAGAGACATTTATAGCTAAATGGATGCACATTGAGGTGATACTCTTAAGTGAAATAAATAGGACACACATGTGTAAATACTGAATAGTTTCTCTAGTGTGAGAAACTGAAAGTGTAAATAAGGACTAAAAGGTATAATAGATAATATGAAATAGGAAGAAAAGGGGCAAAGGGGAAGGAAGTGGGAGGGCTAGGGGAAAGGAAAGAAGGGAATGGAATTAATAGGAGAAAATGAAAAAATGGAAACAAAGTCTTTGTAAATAGGGAGGGATGGAGGGGTTGAAGGGAGGGCAGCGGAATGGGGAAAAAATAAGAACCAAGAGAGATTATGTAAAGGTGCAAATTTCCAATGATGAATGTCATTATATTGTATACCTAAAACATAACAATAAAATTAATTTAAAAAAATAGTAACTTTGTCACTAAGCTCTTCTTACCTCATAGAATGGCTGAGCTGAGACTCAGACGAGGATGCTCTTGGCCTGCTGTGAACCAGACAGTGTGGAAAGCCACAGAATAAACATGCTGAACCTTCTAGGTTTGTCCATTTTAAATATTATTTTCATATCATAGTAAATGTGGGTACATCCCAGACTCACTGGAGACATCCCTTCTGAGGATTCTGGGGAAGGATGTTCCATCCCCATGCCCCTAGATTGCTGGCCCTGCTGACATTTGCTCTGTCCCTCCTCATCAGAGATGGGCCTTGCTTTCTCCCAGCCAGGGACTGGCAGGTGAACAGCACTGGCATTGGCCATCTACTTCCCCTCTGGATATTCACTCTTCTTCCTTTTCTTCCCCAGGGCTGGTTCCTGGTCCTCTCACTTCACCTCCTGGTGTGACTTCCAGCTGATGTGCTGAGCAATAGTATTTTCCTCCCTTCCTGCTCAGATGCACCTATGTCTTGCCAGGTAAGCAATGGAAGGGGCTTGTGAGACAGGGTTCTTTGCTTTGCTGCCAGCCAGATGAGAGCCCAAAGCTTTTCATTTTCCCTGCCTAGGGTCTTCAGTCCTTCTCACTGAGGCAGAGGGGCTTTGAGTAGTTGGGCTGACAAAATGGGACAGTCAGGAACCACTGCTTAGAATTCCTTAAGGAAACCTGGCTCCTCACTCTGGCTTACAAACACTTTTGAGGCTTGCTCCCTCTCTGGGATGAGGGCTCAGGTTTTACTCTCCTCATCAGATTCTATGGTCTGGCAAGAGTGAATGATATGAACTTCCTAGCACATGCCATATTCTTTTTTATTCCCAGAGCTTTGCAGACACTGTCCCTCTGTCTTCTTTTTTCTGTCTCTGCCTCTCAATCCCTTTGATTCTTACTTTTGGGTTGACTGGGGCGGGGGGTGGGGTGCTAAGACTTCTCTTACTAAGTGGCTTTCTCACTCTCATGACCTCCAGTTCGGTTAGGTGCTATTTTCTTGCGTGCCAATGACATGTAGCCTTTAACTCACTTTTGACTCCATTCTAACAGCCTATCTGAGGCTTCTTTACCCCTAACTCTATAGTCTTCTTACAGTTAAGACAGTTGATTTCTTCCTGTGGAATCCCTGTGCCTACAGCTGCTCTGTTCTGAGTGGTGACTACTAGCACAGGTGCCTACTAAGTACTTGAAATGTAGTCCTCTCAATTGAGACATATGTGCTGGGGGGTAAAACACATACTGGATTTCAAGGACTTAGTGCAAAAAGATGACATAGAATAATTTTACATCGTTCATAATTTTTAATATTGAGTATTTATTAGAAGTCTTAAGATTTGGTGTGTTAAACAAAAATATTAATTGTTGTTAATTTCTTTTAAATGTGGCTATTAGAAAATTTAAAGTCATGTATGAGGCTTGTGTTATGTTTGTCCTGGACTGTGTTGGCCTAGAGCAGTGGTGAACCTATGGCATGTGTGTCTCAGCAGGCACACAGGGCCTGCTCTGGCAGCGTGTGAACCAAGACCCCCCAGCATCACCCCAGAAGCTGAGCATTGGATATTTAGGTTTAATTGCAGTGTGGGTTTCAAGTTGCAGTTTGGGGACTCAGTTTCTAAAAGGTTTGCAATCACTGTCCTAGAATATATTGTCTGCCACATCTGTGGAGTGAATGAACTGGTGCATAGATCTCTATGAATGAATAGGCATCTGTCTTCCCACCTGGGCCTCAGCTCACAGCTTTTGCTCCAGGAGTGACCCCCACAGGCCTCTCGTGGTCAGGGGTCTGAGCAGGGCAGCCTGGCTGGCTGGCTATAGCCTGAGTCCCCAAGGGATAGAGGAGCCTGGGATGGAACACTCAGCTTTAAGCCTATAGATTTTGTCTTGTAAGCATATTGTATAATTGTGTTCGTATTTCCAGGAACAAAAAAATTAACATGATATCCTGAACTGAGCAGGACAGATGCTCATTTTGAACAATTGAAACATCCAGTGATATCATCAAGAGTGTTCAATTTTACGAGTAGTAGGTGAGGACACTTTTCTTACTGGAAGTTTCTCATTTATAATATCTCAATTGTGTAATCAAACAATATATACTGATTATCTTGAAGATTTTCCCAGAAACTTTCTTAATCCTGGAAGAACAAAGAAGTCTTTTTCAAAAGAGGAACTATAACTTTCCTTTGTGTATCAAACTTTTGACTTTTTCCTTGTTCTGTGTTTCCTTGTCAGATTGTGTAACCAAGTTGGGAGAAACTTTGTAGACCCTGCCTATTATTGCCAGGAGTCTTTGAACTTCCATTTATTGACTTGCCATGAGCTTAATAAGGACTTGATCTTTGGAGGGTAAAAAAGCTTTAACTAAGCACAGTGATTGTCTAGACTAACTGACATTTTGAAGGCCATATCCTCAGTAGATAGCAGGTACATTTCTAACAATCATATTCAGCATTTACATAGTGCTTCTATAACTTTCAAAGTGCTTTCACACACTATCTCATTTGGTCTCTATATTTGATGCCCCTTTAAACAAAACTCTTCTCAGAGATGCCTATGTTGAGATCTATAATTTCTTTCTCTTTGTTCCCTGTGGACTCCGTCATCATGCCTCCTCTGTTGACACCATTTTCATAAAGGTCACCATGACCAAGATCCAAGTGTCCCTACATCCTATCTCATTTCTCAGTCTTCTCATCACATCTGATCCATTTGAATCATTCGATACTGTCTATTGCTCTCTCCTTGAAATTCTTTCTTCATTTGGCTTCAAGGACGTCACACTTGCCTGGCTTTCCTCTGACTTCACAGGCAGCTCCTTTCCATCTCCTTGGCTGGTAGCTTTACATCTCCCTGACTTTTAATCTTAGAACCTCTCAGATCTCAGATCTTAGACATCTTTTCTTTTCTTTCAATACTCACTCCATTGCTGAGTTCTCTGAGTTTCATGGGTTTAAATATAATTGCTATGCTAACAGTTTTTAAATATTTATTATGAACCTGGATATCTCCTCTTAATCCTAGACTCACAGAGTCAACTATGCAAATATCATCTCCACCTGGATGTCTGAAAGTCATTTCCAACTTTATATTCCCAAACTAAGCCTCCAGATTTTCTCTCAGAACATGCTCCTTCTTTAGTCTTCTCCACTTCAGCCAGCTTCATTCTTCCATTTGATGGGAGCAAATACTTCAGAGTTTCCCTTGAGTCCTCTCTTATTTCATAGCCCACAGCTTATGTTTTCCTCGGTAACATCATGTGTCATACAGAATGTGGCTGTGTCTTACCGTTTTCAGTGCTGGCACCCTGGGCTGAACATTCATCATCTCCTGTCTTGACTAGTTTAGGAGTCTCTAACCTGGCTTCCATTTTTTGCTTTGGCTCAGCACAGACAAATATCTACAGAGCAGGCAGAGTGCTCCTATTAAAATATACATCAGACCACTTTGCTTCTCTACTCAAATGACTCCCATCTGTCCAGAGTAAAATCTAAATCCTCCCAATGACCTTGATGCCATTATACAAAGTGTCGCTCCCCTGACCTCAGACTACTCTCCTGTGGCTCATTTCATGACTTCCCTGCTGTGTCATTCAATACAGGTGAAATACCTACCTGAGGGCTTTGCATTTCCCCTTCACATAGCCCTATGTCTTCCTCCTTCCCACCTTTATATGTTACTCAGTTGTCCCCTTTTCATGAGGGTTTCCATGATTATTCTACTTTAACATGCAGCACCTACCCCATACATTCCCCTACTTCTCTTTCCTACTGAGTTTATTTCCCATGACACTTAATATCATCCAGAATACTATGTATTTTACTTACTCTAATTTTCCATTTTCTGTCTTAAATAAACTGTTAGATCCATCAGGGCAGGGATTTCTAGTTCCCTAGATATATCTCCCAGCATCTACAACAGTGCCTAACATTTAGGACACAGTCATCAAGTATTTGTAAATAAGCGAAGGAACAATTCTATCAATAAGCATACTATTGTTCCTTTCTCTATTCTATTAATGAAGGAAATGAGAATGCAGTAGGACAAAAATAAAACCAAACATTCACAGAGAGAGACCTATACCTACACATAAAAACCAAAATTTAACCATGCACAAGCATAGCAAAACTAGATTGTTTACCCCAGAGAGAGGGAGGGGGATACTGGGTCAGGATGGGGTATGCACTATTTGTACTTGGCAGTGGTTAGTCTCATCTCCAGAGAGTTATAACTAAGCAATAAACTTAAACAATTCAGGTTAATGTTTTACAAATGTACTTATTTAAAAATAATCTTGTAAACTTTTCATTAAACATTAATTTTCATGGTGACTTCAAAGCAATAATCCTTTGAACTCGAAGTATAGTAGCAAGATTTGTATACACTAAGGAAATCTGAAGCCATATAATACAATTACATATCAACTGAAGTGCAAAACTCTTAAAAGCATGATTAAATCAGAGAAGCCCCGGATCCTCTCCTCACAATATTTCTGGGTCTTTGAGGTTCTAGCTATTGGCTGTCAGTTGCAGCTAGATGGGCACAGGTGGCAGCTCCAAGAGTACCTCTGCTAATGTGATGCCGTTAAATCCAGTTTTAGATAATATAGATGAGAAAATAACATTTCAAGTCTCTCTGTGGGAGATTTTTTCCTCCCACAGAATGACTTTCCTAGCACCCCCAGGGCTGATTAGATGCTGCATTGTAGCTAAAGTTGAGCTTTAAGGGGATACAGCTCTGGTCACACAGGGCCCCACATCTCAAAGAACTTCACACTTGGTTTAACTCTTTGCTATCACTGTCTTAGAATTCTTAATCATTCTTTAACATGGGCCCAGAATTTTCATTTTGCTGTGTGCTTCACAGGAGCTAAGTCATACCCACAAGTCAATGCTGCAAGGTGAAGTTTGTTAAATGAGGATGAGGATGGACAAGCCAATAGCCCTCTTCAGTTACACTTATGTAATTATAGATGAGGTTGAGTTATTTGGTAGTTCTGTAAAATTTATTTGCATAAATTTGGTGCACATGTTTGGCCATTGCTTCATTTAATGATTCATTAAGTTTTGTTCCATTTAAATAGCAGTTTAAAACATGTTTCATTGTGCTCTGATTGTTTTCCAGAACTCATAAATCTAAGTTTAGTGATACAGCATATTATCCTTGGTAATATATTTTAACATTATGATGTTCTCCTGATGAAATAGGGGGAAGTGCAATATCCAAATTGCTACTTTTGTGTGTGTGTGTGTGTGTGTGTGTGTGTGTGGTACTGAGAATTGAATCTAAGGCCTTCATATTGAGCTATATCCCCAGCCTTTTACAAAAATTTTATTTTGAGGCAAGTTTTCACTAAATTGCTAAGTGGCCCAGGATGTCTAGAATTTGAGATCCTCCTGTGTCAGCCTCCCAGAGTGTTGGGATTATGGGCATGCACCACCATACCTGGCTATTCTTTTATTTTACTTTTTAAAATTTTCTTTGCTTCTGAAAA